GCCGTCACAACTTCAACTTGGTGATTTACCCCTCACAGCACAGCGGGAAAGCTGCCGTCTCTCCATCTAATGCTCTGTACATTCGCAACATTCCCATCACCGTCCCACGGGCGCAGGTGGAGGAGTTTTTTGTCGGCGTTCGGCACCCTCACTTACTGTGCGATGCGTGAGGACCACTACGGCAATCCTGTGTGGGTTGTATACGCCGAGTACGACTGCCTAGAGTGTTCCAAGAACGCCCTCCTGAGGCTGCATGGTAGTTCGGAACACTTTACTGGTCCCCCAGTGATGGTCAAATATGCTGAGAACGATGAAGCCAAACAAGAGCGCCGTCGCCGTCGCGAAGAGGGGCTTGTGCTTCCGGCTCATCATTATCCTTGGTCCGTTGTGGTTAACCCTCCCAATTACTGGCACCCTGGTTTTTGACGTGTGTTGGATCGGTGTCGTCACGTTATAATCGGGCTGCACGTGTTGGGGTCACCTTGTGTCCCTGAACTAAATCCCCCAGCGGCCCTTTAGGCAGCAGCAAGGGGACTGCTGCCACTAATGTTATTTTTGACGATGCTCTTCGGAGACGATGGTGAGTTTGGAGTTTTTTTGCCACGAACCGCTTGTAGGCACCCTGTTATTTTCTTGACTACTTTTTCTCACTTTTTTTTGGGTGTTTCTTTTTCCCCCTATTACTTTTGTCTTGGGTTCTTGTCCTCCGTTGCTTTTACGGTTTTCCTCCTTTTTCCACAGGAGCTGTGGCTTTTCTCACAGCATGCGGGCGTTGGTATCAGCCCCCATATGAGTCACGCCGACGCGCGTGCAAACGCAAACGGACAGGTAAAAAACAGGGGAAAAAAATATTATAAATCGTTCGAGATAAGAGTGTTCTGTGTTTTTTGTTCATGGGCACGCCCATTTGAAATCTGTTGCGTGGATATAACAAATTCGGAGTCGTCCGCGCCTAGATTTTATCTCCTTTTTTCTATGAAATGGGGCTTCTAAAAAGAGACTAAAAATTGTGGACTTTTTTTTTGATTTGAAGATTTTGTTTTTTG